CAGGTGGTACAGAGGTAAGGATTCTTTGAGTGCCCTCTTGTGGTTTGTGCTTTGTTGCCTTCACAGTGGACATTTATGTTCAGGAGTTTCTCAAAGACTCCCTCCACCACCGGACACACCCCAGTCTACATCAACTTCCTGGCTGAATGCAGACAGCTCTCCTGAACTGCTTTAAACAGACCAAAAGGTCTCTCCAAACTATTCTCACACCTCAGCTTTCAAGCCACAGCCCTTCAGTTCCCACCTGCTACCTCAGGAGATCCCTAAGAAAACCCCCCTTCAGTCCTTACCATGACCACCAGCGGGTCTTTAGATTGCTCCCATGACAGGCACCAATACCCTTGTGAACACTGGCCTTAGATTCTCTACTACCAAGTACACTTATGATCCACTTTGAGGTATCTGTTATAGCCAACACATGCCTAATTTAGCAGTGCTTCCCATCAGTGACGTGATGCTGCACATCCTAGAAACCAGTCTGCAGTGCTGAGGATCCACACACTTGAACACGCCTCATGAAGGCTACTTTCCAGACCATACAGCTCCCAGGATCACAGTGATGCATGAGCCTCTCCAGCTAGATATGTAGTGATTCATCGGGGGCAGAATCAATAGCCAACATAATTATGGTTTTGGACAGGAGGAAATCATGATCTAAGTGAAGTTGAAATGACCTGTTACAACATGTTAGCAAAGTAAAAAGAAAGTAAAACGCTGTCAGAAAAATAAATACTTGAGTAAAATACAGATTTCTACAGTAACAAAGTATTTGTACTTCATTACTTCTCACCTCTGCAAATAGATCACACGGACAGCGTGAACACACTCTTTAAGTTTTAGTTTGTCATCTTCCTCTCGCAGTGATGACTACAGTCTCTTCAACTAACACTGGTCTCAGATCAGTACTCGACATATTTACGATGGAGTACCAGGGCCACATTAAGGAAAATATATATTACTGATCATTTTGAGAAAAAGCTGAGATGTGGAGATTACAGTTGTTGTTTGAAGGCGAACTTCCTGTTTCCTCTGAGTCAGAGAGCTCGTACTTCAGAATCAGCTTTAGTTAAAGGAAGGAAATGATTTGTCTTCAGCTCATAAACACAGAGAGGCGATCAGCACGAGGATGCTGAAGAGATGCTGCAGAAGCTGCGTCTGCTCAACAGGAAGAGTAGGCCCGATTTGTCGAAAATGAAACAGCTGGTCATGGACAGATGTGTCGCTGTCATGGTTACAGCCTTGTACAGTAAAGAGGATGGATGTTATATCACAGGACAGCTGATGAGTTTGTTTCACTGACTCGTCGACCGGGCGGGCACCATGGGGACATGAAAGACATTATGTACCTTCATGCTGCGAGGAAGGGCCAGCCGGACCGTTACAGGATTCAGGACGTCTTGAATGGAAAAGGGTCCCAGGAACCAGAGGGCCAGTTTCTTAGGCATTTTATAGAGAGAACCGCAGCAGGAGCAACAACTGAAACCTGCACATTTAGACTTCATCCTCTAAATGATCAATAATATTTTTCTTAATGTGGTCCTGACACTTCGTCATATTTCGTTCGGTCTCTGCTAACAGGTTATTAATATTTCAGTGAATATTCTCTGTGTCTAAAATATTCTCTAGTTTTACATGAGCCCCATCCCCCCCTCAGAGGGACACTCACCTGTCCTGTGCAGCTTGATTTGGGGTTTCCAGGTGATATCCAGCAGTCTGCGCTGACGGTCGATCTCTTCCTCGTACTGGACGATCGTTTTTTCAAACTCCAAGAATATTTGTTCAGCAGCAGCAGTTAGTCGCTCGTTGATGAACTCTCTCAGATACTGAACTGAAGGCATCGTTGCTGCCACAGCTTACACACCACAACACACTCTGCTCTGTCGTCTGGTGTAACACGGTGAAGTTCCAGCAGAGGAAGCACAATTTTGTTTGTGTAAATACGAGATTATCATAAATATCATGAATGAAAAGGTTTGATTTCAGCAGATCTGGGGGATGTAAACTGGATGGCACGACGGACTTCCACCAAGACACTCATTTTTGGATTTAAATGTTATATTTCTTTTCGTAAGGAAGTAAATTTTCTGTTTTGATCCCATAAAGCATGTAGCTAATGTGTGTGTGTGTTGCTTTATTTCATGGATGCGTGCCTCCCCTGAGTGAAAACTCCTGCTTACATATAGTTCCTCAGTTTGTTATACTGAAACACATGAGTGATGAGTAATCGTGTCTTATTAAACCTCCTGTTATTGTTATCGTTAGACACAAACCACAAATAATCTGCAGAAATATCTGACCCTGAATCTCACTTTAAGCATGAGAAGCATTAAGGAGCTCAGTGATGGAGAACATTTGGCTCGTTGTGTTTGCACACAGTGCAAAGTGCTCCATCCTCCCTCCTCACAGTGATTCAAATGCTGCTAACAGTCTGTGAACCAGGAGGAAGAGGAAGTGAGAGAAGTGAGACTCAAAGAGGAGACAGGGGGCGACATCATCCAGTAGGCGGGGCTCTCCTTCTGCACTGTGTTCAACCATTGTGTCAATAATAAGTGCTGCTGTGAAGAGAACAATTCTCAGACTGAATGTTGAACATCAGCTAGTTTCTCCTGTTGATTTAAACCTTGTTGTACAGATGGAACATTGGCTGTGGATTATTCTTGCTGCTCTTTTCTTTGGTGAGATACAAACATCAACATGTTTCCTCTGCTTAAATAAATGTGTGAGTCTGATTAATGGTGAGTTTTTAATCATGTTTATTGATCCATCTCTTCCTCTGCATGTTCTGTTCTTCCTCAGAGTGTAAAGGAGAAGACAAAGTGATCCAGGAACAAGGAGATGTCATTGCTGCTGAAGGAGACACAGTTACACTTGGATGTAGATATGAAACAACAAGAACAGGCCCCACTTTGTTCTGGTATAAACAAGAAGTGAACCGTTACCCAAAGTATATGCTGAAATCTTTCTCAGAAACAACAGAAAAATCTGAAGAGTTCAACAACGACAGATTTGATGCTAAAATCAACAAAACAGAAAAGTCAGTTCCTCTGAAGATCCAGAAGCTTCAGCTGTCTGACTCTGCTGTGTACTACTGTGCTCTGCAGCCCACAGTGACAGGAAACAGCAAAACTCTGTACAAAAACCTTTGGAGCAAAGACAACAGAATACTCCACAACATCCACTAGAGGGAGCCACACACTGTTAAACCTCTCTGGTCTGTCAGGTAGAGTCTAGTTTCTCTTCACTCGTCTGGCACAGCTGTGACGAGTCCACCCGAGACAGCAGCAGCCAGAAGAGCAGAGCTGCTTCAAATCATCGCACAAAAACATTTTTCATGCCTGTACTTTGAGTTTACCTCTGAGGATGCAGATCACAAGTCTACAAACATTTAATGCAGCAGGACAAAGCCTGCGAAGCCTGTAGGAGCCTTAACAGGCAGCACACAAACCTGCTGCACTGTGAGGTCTGTTGTGTCTTCAGCTCCACATCCTGATGGTTACTCGAGTTATCAACACTTTAGGCCAAAACAATGTTTATTTCTGAAGAGCTTTTTACAACAGCGTGTTGAACACGGTCTTCATCTCGTTAGTGTCACCTCTGAAGATGTAGTGTGAACACAAGACGTCCTTCAAACAGAAGCCAGGGAGCTCGAGAGGGCTCCTCAGCTTTGGCGCTCAATCCACAAATAACCGAGACAATAACACAGACTTCAGTCAAACATGAGAACGTGACACGGACTGATGGAAGACCTCACGTCTGTGTGCCTGCGGTCAGCAAGGAAACCAGCTGACGCGCTGCTTCTCCACCTGTCCGGTTTTTAGATTTGCACGATTAGACATTAATGTAGCAGTGAGGACACCACAGAAACACACAAGCAGGAAACACTTACAGCTTTATCGTACGGATATTATATAAATTACATCTGTGCAGAAAGCAGGCAGGGTCAGGGACAGCCTTTATAGCAAACTAATGAATAAATACAGTCGTGTCCACTGACGCACAGCGACTCACAACAAACGCAAACATGAAGAGTGTAGCACACGTGTGTGAGACACAGCTACTGCTGAGCAGACAAAACGAAACGTGGAGACTTCGTCTGTGGTTTGAAATATTTACAGTACGTAGTGTCTGTGCAGGCGCGCTGACAGCACCGCGGCTGTTTCTCTAATAAATACAATCTGAACTATCAGTATATGAAACAAGTGATGCTAACAGTCATGTTACATTTGGCTGGGGTCTGCTGTAATCTGTGATCTAACCCATGCAGCGTGCTTGTTTCAGAGAGAGCAGCTGGGCAATAACGAGCCCTTCGTGGCTGCGCAGGCAGCACGACTTGCCCCGAAATGTAAAGTATCAAAAACAGATCTTCAGCTGTGAGTCTGGGTTTTGTAGATTAAAGTGGGGAACACACGCCAACTTCAATCTTACGCTGTCCTGACATCATTCACCTGCTGTTACTCCATTTAACCATGTGCAAAAACAAGATGGCACAGCCTGCATCATAGTTAGGGCTGTGCAATATGACGAAATATATCGGACGTTGAAATGTTATTTTATACGCTATCGTTTGTTTGTATATTCATAATACTGCAGTAAAATCCACTGTTTATGGTGATACGTTTTCATGGTTTGGCCACCACGTGGATGCACAGGGAATCCCAGCATGACCAGAGAAGACGAGGCAGAACCAGGTAGCTCAAACTGACGGACCAGTCCAATCTTTTTTTTTTTTTTTTTGGTGCTGCATGGATTCATCCATATTCAACATCCTGGATGTTTCCCACAGATATAATAAGAAGGAATATGCACGTCTGCATTCAGCAATATTTTTTTACCATATTTGTATATTGTGTGAAAGATAATAGATGACAGGCTCACGAGAGAGACCGAGTTCATACTTCGAGTTACAGCGCTCCCGTTTTACACTTGTGAGTGTTTAACTGTACGCTTGGAGCCCTTGAACACATTAACACAGTCGAGTCATCCTCTCTGTGTTTTCTGCCAGCAAACCTGCAGTAAACAAGGGATTACTTCCTCTTTCGAGTGTAATGTGAGAATGCAGAAGCGGTTTCTTCCCATCCACTTTATTTACCGTCACACAAACAGCTAGAATTGACATCCTTTGGTTTTTCTTGCCAACTAGTCAAACTGCAGTTTGCATCAGTGACATAAATAAGACATTTTTGAGAAGTTTGGAATTCTTCAGTTATATTCACAAAGATGTTTTCAGTTGAGTTGAATCAGTTCATCTTAACAGTTGATGCCAAATTTGAAGAAACGATATCGGCTTCTTTAGAATGAAGAGGACCATTAAACAAGCTGAAAAACAAAAAGTAGCTCCAGCCATCACTTTGAGCATAAAAACAAATGTATACTGTAGAGAACTTGTGTCAGACTTCATATAAACATATAATCAGTATTTGAGACTTTGCAAAACCAGCAAAGTCTCCATTAAGACAGTCCAAGTGTAGAAGGAGAGGGTATAGTGCTGCTAGAAAGTGGGAGTTATTTGTGAATTAGTTAACCCATAATGTTGTTTGGTTCATTCAGAATAATTTATTTCTCAAAATTACAGGAATTAAATGAAGTTCTGTGCCTGATAACTTAAAGAGAACTTTCCAAGAGGTTCCCAGACTGTGATACAAATAATAAATGAGTCAGTACGGAAGCACCAGTTGAGTTTGACCCAGCATGTTTTGTATAGGACTGTGTGTGTGTGTGTGTGTGTGTGACAGAAGGGGGTTTGCCTGTTGCTTACTCTTCATCTTACTCTTCTTAAATTCCCAGCTGTTTTCCAGGTAATGTTCTCACGCTTCTTTTGCATCTCCTGTTTCTCACACTGGCTGCTTTGACTATAATCCCTTCCTACAAGCACACATGCATGCATGCACACACACATGGCCCTGCCTTTTTAACTGGCCACCAGGTGAACAACAACAACAACCTCACAGAGAGTCTTTTCCCACAGAAATGTCCGACTTCAGCGTCTCAGCTGTGTGAGTTTTCATGTGCACCAACAAACCACCATTTTTACTGAAACTCATCCCGCAGATTTTACACGAGTACGGCTTCTCGCCGGTGTGAATTCTCATGTGCACCAACAGAGTACATTTTGTAGTGAAACTTTTCCCGCAGGTTTTACAAGTATACGGTCTCTTGCCCGAGTGGATTCTCATGTGGACCAACAAACTGCCGCGCTCCGTAAAACCTTTCCCACACGTTTTGCAGGAATACGGCTTCTCGTCCGTGTGCACCGCCTTGTGCTTTTTAAGTGCCGACAAGTAACAAAAGCGCTCGCCGCAGGCGTTACAAACGTACGGCTTCTCGCCCGAGTGGATTCTCATGTGCACCAGCAGATTACCTTTTCGAGTAAAACTGTTCCCACACGTTTCACAAGAATACAGGTTCCCCCCTGTGTGAACTCTCATGTGGCCCAGTAAAGTACTATTTGTAGTGAAACTTTTCCCGCAGGTTTTACAAGTATACGGTCTCTCGCCCGAGTGGATTTTCATGTGGACCAACAAATTGCCGCGCTCCGTAAAACCTTTCCCACACGTTTTGCAGGAATACGGCTTCTCGCCCGTGCGCACCGCCTTGTGCTTTTTAAGTGCCGACAAGTAACAAAAGCGCTCGCCGCAGGCGTTACAAACGTACGGCTTCTCGCCCGAGTGGATTCTCATGTGCACCAGCAGATTACCTTTTCGAGTAAAACTGTTCCCACACGTTTCACAAGAATACAGCTTCTCCCCTGTGTGAACTCTCATGTGGCCCAGTAAAGTACTATTTTTAGTGAAACTTTTCCCACACGTTTTGCAGGAGTACGGCTTTTCGCCCAAGTGGACTGCCATGTGTCTCTTAAATGCTAACGGGTCACTAAAAGGCTTAAAGACCTTTCCACAAACATTGCATTTTAGAGATTTGGGGACTATGTCGGTGTTACACTGACTCTCTGATGTGGGAAATATTTCTGCGTTGCTACTCTGACTTATGTTTCTAGTGGCAGTTGAAGTAGAATCGAAACTCTTGCTTCCTTCCTGATCTCGGCTTTCGTAGAGAAGAGAGCTGCGAGAGCCGAGCTGGTCGCTGTCCAGGTCAGGTTCACTGAGATCGTCATAAGTTACAGTCACCATAAAGGTACCAGTCTCCTCCTTCTGTGCACGCTGCTCCCCGTCCTGACTGATGCACAGCTCCTCCTGTTCCTCTTTAATCTGTAGAGACTGTGTTCGGCTCCTCTGCTGAACCTCCTCCTCCTCACAGACATGTTGCTGTTGGAGGTCTGAAGGCACAAATGGAGACACACAAACAAAAAGTTGTCAGAGAAATTCAGCTGAGCCAGCAGTGTGAACATGACAGACGCCTCAGGCGGCACCGATTACCACTGCAGAAGCACCGACTGCATTCTACTTTGATGAGTTCATATACAAACAAACTTTTCAAGGCAAACAAATATTTATTCAACAATTTCCCCCAAACTGCACTAAGTTAGAGGATCTGACGGAGGCGCAAAAATCTAGCTGAAAATGAGCTGCTGACATATTTTCCTTCAACAAACAAAAGCATCTTGAACAACACAAATGTCGCGTGTTTCCATCATGTTGCTGCATGTTTGCAACACCAGACAACAGGAAATCGACTCTGAGCCACTTTGGCTTCCTTAGCGTCTGTAAAATGTTCAGCCGGGTCGGACGATTTGGTGTCCGATTACGTTTGTTGTTAAGAATGCTTTCTTGGTGCTCCCCGTCCCCCCGAGGTTCCCTTTAGAATGAGGTGCTTCCGTGCAAACAACGTGCTTGTGTGTGACTGTTTGACCTGCCACCGGGCGGACCAGCTCGTTATCAGACACAGGAGCGACTGACCGGCTGTTCTTTGCTGTTCTGCTTTCACACTCAGCACCACAGGCAGACAGTACAACATCTGCATCGCTGCAGATCTGTCACTCTCCTGCTCCGTTCCCTAACTCGTGCACAAGGCGTTAAGATAAACACTGACAGACCTCAGCTTGGCAGGAACTTGAACTCCCTGACCTGGAGGGGTCGCTCCTCCCCTTGTCGACTGAGCTCAGATCTTTTTCCTGCTGCTTCACACTCAGCTGTGAACAACCCCACTGCAAGCTAAAAGTCACCGTCTAATGCAGTGTTTCCCATCCACTGTGCCGCGGCACAAAGGTGTGCTGTGAGCAATTATTTAAAAAACATTTAATAATTACTGGAAATAATAAAATCATTTCTGGGCATCTGTGCTTTCAATGAGGTGACTGGTAGAGCAGTTACTCTTTCACGTCAGTGGGTAGCGCAATATGACCTTGTTGAGTTAAGCCAATAGGATTACTGATGCGCACGCTACGTGGCAGCTGCAAGACGTACAACAAAGATGGATAAATATTTGAAAAGAAGAACTGCAGGCTCCGAACTGGACCCTGGATAAAATTCTAATCAGAAGACGAGCGGTGGTCGAAAGAAAGCAAAAACGGTGAGTTTGAGGCAATACAGCGAAAGTTATCCTTCCTTTGAATTTAGCTTCAGTGGAGATCCGACTGCACCGACTCTGGTGTGTTTGGGGAGAAGCTCTCAAACAGTGCCGTGGTCCCAAGCAGGCTTTGACGTCATCTCCGTACAAAACATCCCTCAAACAAGAACACAGACTATTTTGTTTGTGAACTCGCTGATAAACGGGTAACTTTAATGAGAAAAAACACGAAGGTGAAGATGCAGAGACGTTACTACTACCTGGCTGCAATGCCATTGTGAATGAGATGCTCGCCCTGACGCGGTTAAAGAAAGTCCCGCCCTCAGACGTATCGACGACACGTCCGCAGACATTGAAAGTGTGGTTTGGGAGAAGATGCGCATCAGTGGGAAGTTTGCAGCGCAGCTTGATGAGTCTACGGACATTAGTGGACATTCCCAACTCTTGGCCAATGTGTGTTTTGTGGATGGAGACTCCATCAGGGAAAACAACAGGAGAGGAAATTTTTCAGGTTACATCCGAATATTTGAACAAAGAGGACTGAAGTGGGAAAACTGCACGAGTGGCTGCTCTGACGGAGCAGCAAACACCCAGATGTTACTGTTACGCACTGTTTTCTGCACCGTGAGGCTGCCAAGACTTTACCAGCAGACCTGGCTCCTGTGCTGGATGATGTTGTGCACATCGTAAACTTCATCAAAACTTTGTTAAATTTGGGTCTTCAATTCCTGCCAGAACATCATCTTTGTGTTCATCTAGTCAGGACCAGGTTTAACACTGAGGACTAACTTGCCATTATATGTACTGCATCAGGCTACAGTGTGTCATTTTGGAACAAGCCTGGTTGGTGGTGTGCCATGGGATATTTTTAATCTAGAAAATGTGCCACGACTCAAAAAAGGTTGAAAAACACTGGTCTAATGAGCCCAAGTCCACAGAAACAGAAACGCTCTGCCTTCTGGCTGCAGCTGAAATTGTGTCCATAAAAGTTCTGAGCAGAGTCAGCGGGTCTGCTTTCTGACTACAGTGTGAACCAAGCTCTACCTGCATTCACACAAGGACCAAACTGTCCATCCCAGACTCCCAAAACACTCCCCACAGGACACCCGAGGGCTTGCTGCCTTCTCCCAGTCCAAAACAAAGAACTGAGACGTGTAATCCCCTGAGGGGCGACTCTCATCCATCCTACCCGGCCGTGTATTCAGGTTCGGGGATATGTGAAAATATTTCCAGGACAGTTGTCAGTCCAATGACCAATCATAGGTGATATACTCGCACAGGTGACTTTTTGATGGGCGGAGCGATCATGAACAGACTGATTCACCCATTTAGAATTTATACATTTTGTTTGGAGGTTATATTTGACCGTCTGTTGTTTCAGTTTTAATACAGATGCTCTTTCAATTATTCAATCATTTAGTTATTTATTTGAAATGCGCCAAATCACACAAAAGACTTTACATCAGAGATTTTTTAATGTTCGCTGGAAGAGACGTTTTAATTTTTAACTTACTTTTTGTTTAATTTTGCACTTGTTGTTTGGTTGAGTGTGTGAGACAGATAAACACAGTTAGAGGCAGCTTCTTTCTGGGCTCATCACCTCCGATGTCCGAACACGAACAGATGCAGTCTGGTTAAAATGGTCACTGGTGTCCTTTGTGACAGAAGAATGCCAGACCGACTCAAGGGAAGTCTACACACGGTGGTCCGCCCAGTAGCCCTGTATGGCTCCGTATGTTGGCCCGCGAAAGGCTCAGCCGATCGTTGATGGTTGATATGTTCGTTCAAACCTTACCGTGTGTCTGCTTTAGTGACCTCGGCCACAGTGATGGTCCCACAGTTGTGTTCTGGGCTCGCTGTGATTCTCCGTTGGCAGCCTGGTGGCAGACCGTAGGAGCTACAGACTACCTGCACAGATCATCGAGGCAGCGTCCAAAGTGCACCCAGCCTGTGGCTCCTGTGCTTCTGTTGTTTTCATCAGCCAGGCGCAGAGAAGAGAGGTTCTAACATACAACGAGCTGAAGTCAAACCGAGTGTCCAAAGCAGTGAACAATGTCCACTGCAGACACAGCTCGTCCTTTTGTTGATCTTCTGTTTTTTCATACTTTTTCCATCTCTGTTTCAGCCAGCTTGTCAATCAATCAGGATTCAGCGTGACCACAGTCAGGCATTAACTGTTGGGTTTTAAAGGGTACAGTAAAGGACTGAAACATGCTGGGTGCTCTGTATGCAGTGCACAAATCCAAACAACAGTCAGGACCTGTTCCCCGACCCAGAGGCACAGGAAAGTAGTCCTGTGTGGAAACACCCACAGAGGGGATACGAGTGCCACAGAAGGCAAATCCAGGCCAGAGTGCAGCCGTCTCCAGCAGCTTCGTTTTATAACACGAGCTGTGCGTTTTGGCAAGCCCGACTACATCCTGCTGGTATCGCTCGTCCACCAGAGAAGTGGCTTTCCTCACCTCTGTGGCCAGACTGGTCAGAGATGAAACTGCTCGAGGCACAAAGAACTGAACCCCTAAAGCCCCTCGCGCAGCTTTTTATGGGCTGTGGCCCCCAGACACTCACTCCAGGCCCGGCTCCAGGATAGGGCCTGGTACAGCTACACAAACCCCTCCAGCACCACAAACAGCTGCTGATTCACACACAGACAGAACAGGTGTGTTTAGATGAAGATAAAGTGGAACTGGTTTCAAACAGTCCTCAGCACAGCAGCAGATCACAGCGCTGAGGACGAGCAACAGCCTGCAGATCAGTCACATTAGATATTTTATTATTGCACAGCGACTTCATGTTTCCAACATTTGTTTGCAACTTTCACAAGTGCAACAGGAAACATACATTTATATAAACGTTATATTTATATGTATAAACTCCATCTGGAATAAATAATGTGCTCTGAAGCTCGACTTTTGATGTTTTCCAACTTTGACAGCAAACATAAAGGAACTGATTGAGTGATCCAGGTCAGAGAAAAGCTCAAATCCACCAGCTGCTGTTTGAATGCAGCGCAGCGCAGTCCTGTCCTCTGTTTGCTCTTTGTTAGCTCACATCTCCAAAAAGTCCTCACAATCAGAAACGTCCCGCAGAGCTGTGATCAGGATGCTCCCTCAGAGGGACACTCACCTGTCCTGTGCAGCTTGATTTGGGGTTTCCAGGTGATATCCAGCAGTCTGCGCTGACGGTCGATCTCTTCCTCGTACTGGACGATCGTTTTTTCAAACTCCAAGAATATTTGTTCAGCAGCAGCAGTTAGTCGCTCGTTGATGAACTCTCTCAGATACTGAACTGAAGGCATCGTTGCTGCCGCAGCTCACACACTCAGCTCACACACTCAGCTCACACAACAACACAACAACACTCGGCTCGGTCACATAGGAACAAAGCTAATGCTACTTCCGCATTTGTGCAGTTCACTTCCGTCTACTGTTGCACAAGGGAAGTTCCGCCAAAACAGGACATTTTACTCGTTGTTCCGCCTTGAAAAAAGTTCTTATCATTGAGGTTTTAGTTGGGATATTTTTTCTGGATTTCTTAATAACAAAAATACATCCGAACAGATTCTAAACATGAAACAGTGACGAAAAAGATCGTTCATGAATAAAACACTGTGAATTTCATCTTGCAAACTGTCTCATGATATTCAGCTCATGTCTCATCTAATCGTGGATGGAAATCAGTTTTTGTGTTAGTGTCGGCGTACACGAGCAGCGTAAAATAGAAAAAGGGTTTATTCATGTATTTGCTAACAGAAAGAGTGATCAATCCTACTGAATCCAGCCTGTCAGTAATGTTTAATACTTAACATCACTGTATATTTTACTGTTTCACTCACTTCGATGTTGGAGGTTCAAAATCATCCACAGGCCCCGCCCACATACGTCCAGCTCAACCAATGAGATGATTTCTGTCTGGAGAGCAAAAAGTTTGAGGAAATAAAAGCACAACCTGGTGAATCTGCTGCAGTGGAAGAACGTTGTTCATGTGCTGTCTGTCTGTCTTCAGCAGCTCCAAAGACATGTTGCTGCACCTCTTTTTGTTTTCATCTCACTTCATAGGTGAACTTTTGTCTCTTTCTCAGAACGCAACATTTCTTTCTCTGCTCTGAACTCTGCTAGAAATGAATCATTGGTCTGGAGGATTTTAGATTTTTACTTCTGTCCTACTTTTCCTCATTTCCACTGTCTTCTCCTCTCAGCCTCATGGACAATGTTAGTCTGATGGCTTCATTTCCTCTACTTTTTCCAGGACTAACAGCTGGAGACTCAATCACTCCTCAACGAGATAAAGTCACTGCAACAGAAGGAGAATCTGTCAAACTCACATGTAGCTATGAGACAACTTCAAGTTATCCTCTACTTCACTGGTACAGACATCATTCTGACCTTCAGGCTCCTCAGTTTATACTCTGGAAAGGAAGGAGACAGCAGACAGGTGAATATATTCCTGATAAACGTTATAAATCAGAAACATCACCTACATCAACTAATCTGACCATAGCAGCCCTAACCCTGGCAGACACAGCTCTCTACTACTGTGCTCTACAAACACAGTGATACAAAGTGTAGAAGAGGCTGTACAAAAACCTGAACACAGATATCTGACTACTCTTCAAAGAGGAGGGAAGTGGTATTCAAAGCACAGCTTCATATCAGATGGATTCTGCTAATTCCTGTTTTATCAGAGTCACTGTGGTTACAGTTTGACAATTAGTCAGTGATTCAGCAGCCTGATGGATAGAAACTCTTTTTGAGATTGTTCTTCCTTGCTTTCACACTCCTGTAGCGACTGCCAGATAGCAGGAGTGTGAACAGTGTGTGCTGTGGGTGGGGCCTTTCCTTGATGATGTTGTGAGTCCTTTGCCGGACCCGAGTGTTGTAAATGTCCTGCAGTGGTGGGAGGGGTACTCCATAGATGAGTCGATTACACGCTGGAGAGCCTTCCTGTCCTGAGTGGTGCTGTTCCCGTACCACACTGTGATGGAGTTTGTCAGGATACTCTCCACTGTGCATTTGTGAAAGTTGCTGAGCAGTTTAGAGGTTAATCCAGATTTTCTCAGCTTCCTTAGGAAGAAGAGTTGTTGTTGAGCCTTGTTGATGATCTACTGTGTGTCATGGGTCCAGGTGAGATCCTCACTGATGTGAGTGCTGTGGAATTTGAAGATCTTCACCCTCTCCACCCGAGTCCTTTTGATGTATAGTGGGGCGTGCTGCTTTCTCCTGATTCTTGGGTCAATAATCATCTCCTTAGTCTTAGCATTTAAGGAGAGATAATTTTCCAGGCACCATGACAGCAGCTGAGCCACCTCTTCCCTGTAAGCAGCCTCCTTTTTACTAGTGATCAGCCCCGTGATGGCTGTGTTGCCAATGAACTTAATGATGGAGGTGTTGCTCTGGAAGGGGACAGTCGTAGCTGAAGAGGACGTACAGGAGTGGACTGAGCACTGGTTCCAAGTGTCTGTCTCCTGTTTCATAATCAGGAGACAGACACTATCTCTACTTTCAAGATTAGGCTTCAAACTTTCCATTTTGCTAAAGCATATAGTTAGGGCTGGACCAGGTGACCCTGAATCCAGGTTTCTCTCTGGCTCCACCCACTGATGCTGAACTCAGCCAATGAGATGGTTTAAGCCAGCCTGATGTTGAGGAGAAGGCTGTGCAGCAGAGAGGCTGCTTAGTCTTTTCATTCTGCTGAACTTTGTTCATCTGCTGTGTGACTTCAGCACCTGAAACATGTTCCTTTACCTGTTGGTACTTTTCTCTCACTGCATAGGTGAGTGTTAGAACACAGAAAAGTCTCATTGTGACAAGATTTGATCAGAGTTATTATTAGCAGATTTCTTCATCTCATTATGCTCACAAAGGAAGAAAAAGACTGACTGACATGAATCATTCATTTGCAGCTTTGGGCTCCATGAACAGCATAAAGCAGGAACGTGCTGAAGAAGCTGTTGCAGAGCGAGGAAACATCAACCTGACCTGTACATATGATGGTTCTATCTACAATATCCAGTGGTACCGACAATACCAGAGATCCAGACCAGAGTTCCTGCTCTACATCACAGAGGGAGGATCAGTTCATCGAGCTGTGTCGGGATTCAAATTCAAATTCAAATTCAAATTTTATTTGTCACGTACACAGTCATACACAGTACGATATGCAGTGAAATGCTTGGACAACTGCTCGTGACCTAAAGAAAAAAAAAGGAAAAGGCTATGAATAAGATAGGAAATAAATATGAAAAATTAAAGTGTAAATTTAACTAGGAAGGAATAAAATATAAATTAAGGTTAAAAATGAAATAACTGTACAACACAAATTAGAATGAAGGGTAAATTTAACTGGGAAAGAATAAGATAAAATATATAAATTAAAGTTGAAAATAAAATAACTGTACAACAAAATACACAATACACAATATAGAACTATATAAGAATGTATGAAGAAATATAAATAAATAAATATATATATATATACACACACACAATAACAGCACCTGTACAAGTATTAACTGGAAATGAAGAATATAGTGACCAGTGTTGTGCAATCCACATTATGTCTTGTGCAGTGCAAATATGCTTAAAGTGATTTAAGTGATAACAATGTCCAGAATGTCCAGTGTGTGTGTAAGAACCATATGTGTGGGTCAGTACTGTGTGGTGGTGTGATTGAGAGACCGTATCGGCTGCGGGAAGAAGCTCCTCCTCAGTCTCTTTCACCTGCGACCTTGACAGAACTCCGTCCCATTGATTTGTCTTTATGTCATTTCATATGTAAAATTCAAGCTAAAACAGTCTAAGTAGCTGTATCCATGGTTGCAATCTCCTTCCTAACCCACACAACACATGAACACAACTTCTTGCCTGTGTGACTCCATATGCGACCTTTCAAATGTGAGGATTCTTTGAGTGCCCTCTTATGGTGAGTCAAATGACAGCTTTGAACCTCTTCCCACATGTTTTACATGGATAAGGCTTCTCACCCACGTGGACTCTGTGATGTTTCTTCATTCTAGACTTTTTCTTACAGGCTTTTCCAAAAATATCAATTTTTAGAGACGTTTTAGTAATATGATGATTGGGACACACATCTGGACATCTATATTCCCACCTTGATAATTCATAATTTCCAGGACTCTTTTGTGCTTTGTTGCCTTCACAGTGGACATTTATGTTCAGGAGTTTCTCAAAGACTCCCTCCACCACCGGACACACCCCAGTCTACATCAACTTCCTGGCTGAATGCAGACAGCTCTCCTGAACTGCTTTAAACAGACCAAAAGGTCTCTCCAAACTATTCTCACACCTCAGCTTTCAAGCCACAGCCCTTCAGTTCCCACCTGCTACCTCAGGAGATCCCTAAGAAAACCCCCCTTCAGTCCTTACCATGACCACCAGCGGGTCTTTAGATTGCTCCCATGACAGGCACCAATACCCTTGTGAACACTGGCCTTAGATTCTCTACTACCAAGTACACTTATGATCCACTTTGAGGTATCTGTTATAGCCAACACATGCCTAATTTAGCAGTGCTTCCCATCAGTGACGTGATGCTGCACATCCTAGAAACCAGTCTGCAGTGCTGAGGATCCACACACTTGAACACGCCTCATGAAGGCTACTTTCCAGACCATACAGCTCCCAGGATCACAGTGATGCATGAGCCTCTCCAGCTAGATATGTAGTGATTCATCGGGGGCAGAATCAATAGCCAACATAATTATGGTTTCGGACAGGATGAAATCATGATCTAAGTGAAGTTGAAATGACCTGTTACAACATGTTAGCAAAGTAAAAAGAAAGTAAAACGCTGTCAGAAAAATAAATACTTGAGTAAAATACAGATTTCTACAGTAACAAAGTATTTGTACTTCATTACTTCTCACCTCTGCAAATAGATCACATGGACAGCGTGAACACACTCTTTAAGTTTTAGTTTGTCATCTTCCTCTCGCAGTGATGACTACAGTCTCTTCAACTAACACTGGTCTCAGATCAGTACTCGACATATTTACGATGGAGTACCAGGGCCACATTAAGGAAAATATATATTACTGATCATTTTGAGAAAAAGCTGAGATGTGGAGATTACAGTTGTTGTTTGAAGGCGAACTTCCTGTTTCCTCTGAGTCAGAGAGCTCGTACTTCAGAATCAGCTTTAGTTAAAGGAAGGAAATGATTTGTCTTCAGCTCATAAACACAGAGAGGCGATCAGCACGAGGATGCTGAAGAGATGCTGCAGAAGCTGCGTCTGCTCAACAGGAAGAGTAGGCCCGATTTGTCGAAAATGAAACAGCTGGTCGTGGACAGATGTGTCGTCGTCATGGTTACAGCCAGTAAAAAGGATGGATGTTATGTCACAGGACAGCTGATCAGTTTGTTTCACTGACTCGTCGACCGGGCGGGCACCATGGGGACATGAAAGACATTATGTACCTTCATGCTGCGAGGAAGGGCCAGCCGGACCGTTACAGGATTCAGGACGTCTTGAATGGAAAAGGGTCCCAGGAACCAGAGGGCCAGTTTCTTAGGCATTTTATAGAGAGAACCGCAGCAGGAGCAACAACTGAAACCGGCACATTTAGACTTCATCCTCTAAATGATCAATAATATTTTTCTTAATGTGGTCCTGACACTTCGTCATATTTCGTTCGGTCTCTGCTAACAGGTTATTAATATTTCAGTGAATATTCTCTGTGTCTAAAATATTCTCTAGTTTTACATGAGCCCCATCCCCCCCTCAGAGGGACACTTGTCACACAGTGGAAATTTGTGTTTTTATGTTTTATCGATCTGTGTATTGGTACATAGTGTTGATTATATTTGCATGATTTTATTGTGATATTTATATTGCATGTTTGTTTATTGATATTTATACTGCATGGTTTTATCCTCATATTTATATTATGTGTGTTAATGTTGTACCATGTTCCTTTAATCCACTGTGGACTAAACAGACAATTGTAGGCACCTGTGAGGTGGGGGCGTTCCCCAAGGTGGCCTATCAGCCGCCAGGTTGACCTGTTAAAGGGGATAGTGAGCGCAGAGACAAGAAGAAGGAGCGACGCACGAAGGGTGAGCAGGAGAAAAAGGAACGCGTGCAAGCCCGCACGTGTGTGTGGAAGGAACTGCTGCCTGGCTGTGGGGTGCCGCGAGTCGTTCGGCGATCCAGTCCCAATGGCGGGAACGGCAACAGTGGGTGGCGATGGCCGCAATTCACAACAGGGCAGGGATGCCCCTCTGCCTGCGTCTGACGGTGAGACAGGTGTGGAGTGGGGCGGGACTGTGCGGCGATGCGCTGTCAGGAGGAGACAGGTCTGCGATAGGAGCCTCCTCCCTGGTCTGCTGCTGGCGAGTTTTACCATACCGGAAGAGAAGTTCCTCTCCTGTCTTTTTCAGATAAGGACCATTCGCCCATGTGTGGCTGGACTGTGGGATTATGGGACTGTGGGAAGGTAATTTTAGCATGTGGAAAATATTTTTTAAGCCTTGTTTTAATAGTGTATAGTTATTTCTGCCGGCAGGGTTTTTAGCGGGTTGCAACACTATTTTTATTGTATACGGGGAATTTTATCTTATATTTGTGACTCTGGCTGTGGTTTGTTTTTTTTTTTTTTATCCTGGAAATAAATGGTGTTTGAAGCCAGCTAAGTTTCTGTGCCCTGAGCGCTGACCCGCTCACTCCCCTTCCTCTTGTATGTGAACAGACGTGGTGGTGAAGATTTAGGTCCACCAGTCTTACGGCTACACACTCACCTGTCCTGTGCAGCTTGATTTGGGGTTTCCAGGTGATATCCAGCAGTCTGCGCTGACGGTCGATCTCTTCCTCGTACTGGACGATCGTTTTTTCAAACTCCAAGAATATTTGTTCAGCAGCAGCAGTTAGTCGCTCGTTGATGAACTCTCTCAGATACTGAACTGAAGGCATCGTTGCTGCCGCAGCTCACACACAATAACACTCTCTGCTCTGTCGTCTGGTGTAACATGGTGAAGTTCCAGCACAATTTTGTTTGTGTAAATACGAGATTATCATGAATGAAAAGGTTTGATTTCAGCAGATCTGGGGGATGTAAACTGGATGGCATGACAGACTTCCTCCAAGACACTCATTTTTGGATTTAAATGTTATATTTCTCATCGTAAGGAAGTAAATTTTCTGTTTTGATCCCATAAAGCATGTAGCTAGTGTGTGTGTGTGTGTGTGTGTGTTGCTTTATTTCATGGCTGCGTGCCTCCCCTGAGTGAAAACTCTTGCTAAAATATAGTTCCTCAGTTTGTTATACTGAAACACATGAGTGATGAGTAATCGTGTCTTATTAAACCTCCTGTTATCGTTAGACACAAACCACAAATAATCTGCAGAAATATCTGACCCTGAATCTCACTTTAAGCATGAGAAGCATTAAGCAGCTCAGTAGGGATGGGTATTGATAAGATTTTCACGATTCCGATTCCATTTTCGATTCTGTTTAACGATTCGATTCTTTATCAATTCTCTTTAAAAAAGGAGAACACTAAGGTCGAATAGCTCAGAACTTTGTTTTATATCTTCTCTTTGAACAAGATAGAAATTTAGGAGTAACATGGCCTTACAAACCCAGCAGCGAGATCTTAAGAGATCCAGCCTGCGGCTCTTCAATGGGGTGTCACAGGGACCCCGGGGAAAAAAATTGTAAATGTAAAATAATAAAATAAATATTCTTCTGTAGCAATAACAAAGTATAACATAAATTATTCTGTAGCAATTACACAAGAATATCCAGTAATGTCCCTGCCTACAATTAAACACATTCACTTACCGAAAATCATCTGCTGTGGCAAACGGGTGCAAACCTTTGACCACAAACTGAGTCACTGCTCGGTGACATTCGTCTATCCTGGCCTGAAAGGAGACGCTACCGGCAGACTGCAGCGAGAGCTGCCAGCATCTGAGCCAGACTCTGTCTCTCTCATCATGGTCACCTAAATGCACAGTAATGGCAGGTTTGTAATAAGGCAGATCGCGCTAACATAATATGCACTGTTAGTTGATTATTTACCTGCCGCATTAACGGGAGAGGACGTGCAAACGTTACCGCTGCTGCTGGGTTGAGATTCACGAGCGGAATTAAAAACACGACATTCATTTAAGGTTTGTGAGCAAATGCTTTTGCATATTCGTAGTGTTTCCTCCCTTAAATGAAATCTCTACTTTGCAAGTATTGCAAGTTGCCCTGTTGTCATCTGTTCTCGTAAAGTATAACCAAACTTTTGAGCGTTTGAGCCGCTTAGGCGCCGTGTTTCCTGCCAGGTAAATGACGCTCCGCAATGTGGTGACGTCATTCAGGGCGACTGGAATCGATAAGGGAATCGTTTGCAAAAATGGCAAACAATTCCAAGGACTTGAAACAGTGGGAACCGGTTCTCAGCAAGAACCGGGTTTCGATACCCATCCCTACAGCTCAGTGATGGAGAACATTTGGCTCGTTGTCCTTGCACACAGTGCAAAGTGCTCCATCCTCCCTCCTCACAGTGATTCAAATGCTGCTAGCAGTCTGTGAACCAGGAGGAAGAGGAAGTGAGAGAAGTCAGACTCAAAGAGGAGACAGAGGGCGACATCATCCAGTAGGCGGGGCTCTCCTTCTGCACTGTGTTCAACCATTGTGTCAATAATAAGTGCTGCTGTGAAGAGAACAATTCTCAGACTGAATGTTGAACATCAGCTAGTTTCTCCTGTTGATTTAAACCTTGTTGTACAGATGGAACATTGGCTGTGGATTATTCTTGCTGCTCTTTTCTTTGGTGAGATACAAACATCAACATGTTTCCTCTGCTTAAATAAATGTGTGAGTCTGATTAATGGTGAGTTTTTAATCATGTTTATTGATCCATCTCTTCCTCTGCATGTTCTGTTCTTCCTCAGAGTGTAAAGGAGAAGACAAAGTGATCCAGGAACAAGGAGATGTCATTGCTGCTGAAGGAGACACAGTTACACTTGACTGTAGATATGAAACAACAAGAACAGGCCCCACTTTGTTCTGGTATAAACAAGAAGTGAACAGTTACCCGAAGTATATGCTGAAATCTTTCTCAGAAACAACAGAAAAATCTGAAGAGTTCAACGACGACAGATTTGATGCTGAACTCAACAAGACATCAGTTTCTCTGAAGATCCAGAAGCTTCAGCTGTCTGACTCTGCTGTGTACTACTGTGCTCTGCGGCCCACAGTGACAGGAAACAGCAAAACTCTGTACAAAAACCTTTGGAGCAAAGACAACAGAATACTCCACAACATCCACTAGAGGGAGCCACACACTGTTAAACCTCTGATTCTTGTGTCATTGGACTGATGACAAAGACAACAGAGAAATGAAGCAGTAAAGATCAGAGACAGAGACAGAGCTGCTGTGGAAGGAAACTTTATTTATAAAGATCCTTTCACATCGACACGTCAAACAGCTCGTACAGTTTGTTAGTGTCAGCTCTAAAGACGGAAACGTTTAAAAAGATGTGAACTGAAAACAAAGCATGCTTGAAACACAAACTTCAACATCTGACTTCAATCCAAAAATCACTGAGGACACAAACCAAACATCTTCCACTAAACGTTCAGGTGCAAACAGAGTGATGGAGGTAAAGAAGAAAACCTCGATGCAGGCGGAAGATCAGAGCTGCATCTTTCTCATATTTACACTGTTGCCTCTGATTCTACTGAAGCAGAGACGTCATCGAACATGTTTTCTTCCAGAGTCTCAAAGAAATTCTACAAAACAGCTTTTATAGAAAACAGAACCCAGGAACTGATTTCCACTGATCAGACTTTTTATATCACTGCCAGATTGATACCCAGTAAAACACGTGATCTATGGCTGCAGTCCTGTTTAGCTCTGGTGCTTCTGCCAGTGATCCGTCTAGTTGCTGGTACACAGAGAACCAGACCCAGTTGACTATAGTACTTATGAGCAAAGCAGCGGTTCAGCCTGCAGTTCAGAAACTGCCTTTTTAGACACAAATTGTTGACCGGTGAAATAAGAGGATTCATAGTGTGATGAGTAACAGAGCTGCTAGCCAAGTGAGAGGTTGCTGTTTCAGTTCAGCTGGAGACACAAACCCAGGAAGTGCAAACATGAGCAGCAGCTGGAAGCAGCCATCTCATCCTGTGAAGTTACGCTACAAAGATGCAGACTCTCCAATGGACACTGGAAACATCACGTGTTACAAGGGTAAGGCTTACTATCAGAGTGGTTTCTCATGTGTACAGTCAAATGATACTGAGAGCGAAAATCTTTCCCACACATTTTGCAGGGATACGGCTTCTCACCAGTGTGGATCCTGGTGTGGGAGGACAGCCTGCTGCTCTGACTGAAACTCTTCCCACACGTTTTACAGAAATATGGTTTCTCCCCTGTGTGACTTCTCATGTGGGCCCACAAACTGCTATTCTGACTGAAACGTTTCCCACACGTGTTACACAGATACGGCTTCTCCCCTGTGTGGACCACCTTATGCTGCTTAACCGACGACGGGTCACTAAATCCCTTCCCACAGGTTTTACAAAGGTACGGCTTCTCACCAGTGTGGATCCTGGTGTGGATGGACAGCCTGCTGCTCTGACTGAAACGTTTCCCACACGTGTTACACAGATACGGCTTCTCCCCCGTGTGGGTTCTCATGTGGCTCAACAAACTACCACTTTGAGTAAAACCTTTCCCACACGTGGTGCAAGAATACGGCTTCTCCCCTGTGTGGATTCTCTGATGGATCCTCATTTGGTACCCTTTCTTAAAGGCTTTTCCACAAACATCACATGATACATACTTGTTACCTGTGCCAGTGTTACACTGACTCATTGGCAGTGTAGGGTTCTCTGCATTTTCACTGTGATTTCTCTTCTTTGGCTTCACCTCTGCATTCTCAGTTACTCCTAAATCTCTATATTTACTTCCTTCATGATCCTCTGACTCAGCCACAGGAAAGCTGGGAGAGAGGAGCTGCTGCCCGAGGAGTTCTGATTCACTGTCGTCACTTTCCTCATACATACAAGGCACCGTAAAGCTATGAATCTCCTCCTTCAGTCCCAGCTGCTCTCCCTCCTGACTGCTGCACAGTTCCTCCTGTTCCTCTTTAATCTGTGGAGGTTCTGGTTCCTCCTGGTCCACACTGGAGCTCCTCTCCTGGTTCCAGAGCTGCTGCTCAGGGAGAACCTCCTCCTCCTCCTTACAGACAGGCTGCTGTGGGACGTCTGGAGAGACAGAAAATTAAAATTGATGTGATGAAAAAGAGAAAACTGAGTAAATATTCACTGCAGCCATAAGTATGTATAAGAGCAAAAACTAGAATAAAATGAAGCACTTTTCTGTTAAAGAGTGTAATGGGAAAATTCTAGTTTTCACATTTCCACATTTAGATTAGATGAACTGTATGTATGTGTCAGTGTGACCTGGTGAAAACTGTTTAGCTTTGCTTAACGATGTTTCACTAAGTTATCTGCTAACTGTTCGAGTGTACAAGGACAAACCCCCCAAGATGACCAGTGCCAGGAACTTCCTTGGAAAAGATAGTGGGAGTTGCTCTCTGCCCAGCAACAGCCTGTGGGACAAAAACCTGTTATAACTAAAAGATACTGAGAGTTGTGTGTGAGGGTATAAAAGGACAAGAGCTCCCATGACTGTGAACTTTGATATTTGATGTGTGTTGGCTCTCCTGCATGCAGTAAGTAAAATAGCTTGACCACAGCTGACGGTGTTGCAGATTTCATTAACAGAAAATTCCACGACAGATAACCTGCATCACTTGTGCAAGCTCCCACACCCTCCATGCATCACACACAGGTCACTGCTGTATGAGAAGATGATGCTACACTACATGCAACTGTCATACTCCAAACCTTTAATCACGGAGCCTGAATGATTCTGGGTTCAATATGGAAACAAAGGTCAGTGATCTGTGCAGAAATGATGAATCGATGTTTTACTCCGAGTGTCTGACGCCCTGCAGAAAATGATGAATTCACAAAAAGTAAATATGAGTGAAAATTCATCTGAAGCCGTGGAAGCTGAACGAGATGTCAAACCGTTCTCCAGCATGAAACGTTACAGCAGTACGAGGCCTGGATTCACTTTACAGATTAGGGCAGCAGAGCAGACAGGAAAAGGGGGAGGGAGCGGGAGCACCCCAGACAGCAAACGGCCCAGGGTGGAGTCCAACCCGTCCTCCTGCAGGAGCACCTCTGAATCCTCACTTTGTCCTGTGGAAACACCCACAGAGGGGATACGAGGGCCACAGAAGGCAAATCCAGGCCAGAGTGCAGCCGTCTCCAACAGCTTCATTTTATAACACGAGCTGTGCGTTTTGGCAAGCCCGACTACATCCTGCTGGTATCGCTCGTCCACCAGAGAAGTGGCTTTCCTCACCTCTGTGGCCAGACTGGTCAGAGATGAAACTGCTCGAGGCACAAAGAACTGAACCCCTAAAGCCCCTCGCGCAGCTTTTTATGGGCTGTGGCCCCCAGACACTCACTCCAGGCCCGGCTCCAGGATAGGGCCTGGTACAGCTACACAAACCCCTCCAGCACCACAAACAGCTGCTGATTCACACACAGACAGAACAGGTGTGTTTAGATGAAGATAAAGTGGAACTGGTTTCAAACAGTCCTCAGCACAGCAGCAGATCACAGCGCTGAGGACGAGCAACAGCCTGCAGATCAGTCACATTAGATATTTTATTATTGCACAGCGACTTCATGTTTCCAACATTTGTTTGCAACTTTCACAAGTGCAACAGGAAACATACATTTATATAAACGTTATATTTATATGTATAAACTCCATCTGGAATAAATAATGTGCTCTGAAGCTCGACTTTTGATGTTTTCCAACTTTGACAGCAAACATAAAGGAACTGATTGAGTGATCCAGGTCAGAGAAAAGCTCAAATCCACCAGCTGCTGTTTGAATGCAGCGCAGCGCAGTCCTGTCCTCTGTTTGCTCTTTGTTAGCTCACATCTCCAAAAAGTCCTCACAATCAGAAACGTCCCGCAGAGCTGTGATCAGGATCCTCCCTCAGAGGGACACTCACCTGTCCTGTGCAGCTTGATTTGGGGTTTCCAGGTGATATCCAGCAGTCTGCGCTGACGGTCGATCTCTTCCTCGTACTGGACGATCGTTTTTTCAAACTCCAAGAATATTTGTTCAGCAGCAGCAGTTAGTCGCTCGTTGATGAACTCTCTCAGATACTGAACTGAAGGCATCGTTGCTGCCGCAGCTCACACACTCAGCTCACACAACAACACAAAGCCTCCAAAAGTTCACGCTGGAACAACCATACTGCCGCCTTTTCATTGTTTACTTCCACCGGATGTCCCGCTCTGAAGTTCCGGCAGGAGGAGGATGTTCAAATACTTTGTTCCGCTTGGAATAAACGTCCTTCTTTCTTCCTAAAAACCTATTTAAATGTACCAAACTGAGCCATAAATACATAAACAGCGTGTTACTGCCACAGCTCACACACTCGGCTCACACACAGCACAACACACTTCTGGTTCAGCCCAAGTATTTCGCCGGTGCTTCCACCGGATATGACGCGGCGCTGCCCTCCGGAGACCGTTAACTGCGTCGACCTCTGAGCAGAAAATGAAAGATGAGATAAAAACAAAGAACAGACCAGTAAGAAACAATGATGACTGCTAAAAACAAGCGCGTCCATGCTCACAGGTGTACACACGGGTGATCACACCCACAAACTACACCCTTTTTGGCTCCTACCTCAAAGCACACTGTGTTCTGTTGATCTTATGTGCTGCACAATAATGTTTAACATTTAGTATTTACTGTCATATTCCCATATATCATTGTGATGTTGTTTATTCTATTACTCTTGTTCTCTTCTGCTTGCTTTCTTTTTTCTTTCTCAGCAGGTGATCCAGGTGATTGATATATGCATTTTTTTCTCTGCCCGTTCTGTTGGTTTTTGGTTTTTGCCCTTCTCCCCCGTCCCTCTTCTCAGCTGTTTCTCTTTCCCTCTTTCTTTCTCCCCTTCTTTCCCCCAGTCAAGTCTGTCCCGTATTCAGTAAGTGAAAATAAAATAAACAATAAAAGGTGAATCAAATGGACCATTACGGCAAGGCTGGGATGGTCAGTTTGGTAAAGTAAATCCGTTGGGCATCTTTCTTTGCCTTTAGACAACAATTCTGATGCAAAAGAGCCAAACGGGACAGGCCAAAAAAAAGAAAAAAAGAAACAATGATGACGTCAGAGGGCGAGACAGCTGGAGAGGTTTTTTTTTTAACTTATTTTCAAAATAAAGGTTTAAATATTCAAGACCTTAGTGAAGCTGTAAAGAGAATATAAATCCACGTTCATGTTCACTGTAAGAGAGGCCATTATGAACAAAGCAGTGACACCAGACCCACGCAGGAAACAGTTTAATATACACATACACTACAAACATCTGGGCTGCATCACTGGAGACAGCTGCTGAACTGGTTTCTTTCAGTCTGGGAGGAAAACAGCTGGAGGTGAGAGAGGGAGGGTGACCTACTTCCCCTCTGCTGCATCAGCACTCAGGCAGGAGGGATCTACTCTTTGTGAGTGCTACGAGCTGGCTGTTCCAATATCAGAATGCTTTTTGTTTATTTATACCGGTGCTTTACACAGTTTCATTTACATGATGATTTCTCTAATGGTCAGAACAATTACCACCACTGTGTAGATAAGGACCTCTCCCCCACCTTCCATCCACCAAATTACAAGTTTTTGTGAAATAATTTGTGCAAAGTAAAGCAAGCATCCAAAATAAAACCAGGACGTTAAAACTCTTAACAGCACCTGGGACGTCCTGAAACAGCTCAGTTAGAAGGCAGCTGTAGTTTTAGGTTTAGTCACATTAAAAGACAAATATCATCTGATTTGGTTTATTACACAATTTGAAGCATAAAAGAAATAAAAAGGATGCAAAGACAGATAAAATCAGACTGTAGTCGTGTGACTGCTGAACGCGCAGCTTTTCCTGTTTCACTGCTTTAAATGAAGCCTTTACTCCGTTTCACAGAATAGCGCTCCCATCACTTAACTGTTCTTGAGTTTGAGAGTTTCTGCTGTACGAGCATCTTGTGCTAGGACAGACAGAAAGTTGCCATGGAAACAGTCCACCTTTCACATGGATTTCTCCTTTTTCCGTGTTTCACATGAATCCGGCTTCTCGCCTGTGTGGGCTCTCACGTGGACGCTCAGGTGAGAGCGAGACAAAATTCACCTGTGTGGATTCTGTCCTTCCCACAACCATCACAGTTTACAGGCTTTTCACCCGTGTCAGAGTTACACCGACTCTCTGATGGGGGGGAACCTCCTGCTGTCACTTCTGTTTCTAATTTTCCCGAGTCTGCACTCCTGCCTCCTTCCAGATGCTGACTCTCAGCTTCAGCAGAGCTGTGACAGAGGAGCTGCTCCTCGTCTCCTCCTGGTTCACTGTGCTCTCCTTCCTCAGCAACAGTCACCATAAAGGTACCAGGCTCCTCCTTCAGTCCCAGCTGCTCTCCCTCCTGACTGCTGCACAGTTCCTCCTCTTCCTCTTTAATCTGTGGAGCTTCTGATTCCTCCTGGTCCACACTGGAGCTCCTCTCCTGGTTAGTGAGGGCACACGCTGCTGTGGGACGTCTGGAGGAACAAAGAGAGAGGAGACAAAGGTTACTTATGTAAGCAAAAAATAGATCCAAAAACTCAGAGCAGAGTCCAGTTCTGACACTCAGCCAGTGTGTGTGATTCAGCAGGCTCTCGGTGTTGGGTTAAAGGGTCACTCTTATATATTTACAGTTAAAACCATTATCAGCATTATGAGTTTATAAGCACATTTAAAAACAACACAGGTTGAACAAAGTGCTGCACAAACTAAAGCGAACACACACAAAGAGAACAAAACAGAGTCCCAGTTAGAAGCTGCTGAGTAAAGATGTGTTTCAGACAGAGTTTAAAAATGTGGAGTGTTGGAGAGACGCCAACTAAAGAGGCAGACTGTTCCAAAGTTTAGGCACAGCAATCGTAAAGTCTCGTCTCCTCTGAGGTTCAGGCTGCTGCTAGGAACAATCAGAAGCAACTTATCAGCGGACCTGAGAGTTCTGTTTGGAGTATTTTCAGTTAGAAGATCAGAGAGGGACAAGGAGGCCAATCCATTTAAAAACAAGCAATAAAATCTTAAAATCAATTCTACAACTACAGGAAGCCAGTGTAAACAAGCCAAGACTGGGAAATATGGTCGTTGTTGAGTCTGTGTTTCCACAGGCCCTGCTAGTTTAGAGACTTATTCCTCATGAAGAACAAATCAAAACAGAACATCTTCAACTGGTCTTTAACTCGCTAACGAGGGAAGCCTTGGTCAGAACCAGGCGGTGGAGCATAATGCTCATCACCTGTCTCTAGCCCAAATCCTTCAAAGAGCAGCTCTCCTCGCAGCTATTTATTGACATGACAGTTACAATACACAATAGTTTACACAAGATCCTCTGTTATGGATTCAAATATTGGGGATGGAGACAGGAGGAAAAACCACAATAACAACACTGGTCCGGTCGGGTTCAGTCAAACAATGATTTTAATGATCACACGCGTGGGAGATGGACACTGATGCAGACAGCCTCAGATCTCAAAATGGTGGAGCATTGCTCAAACTCTTATAGTCTCTAGTAGCCCCCACCTAATCATAAAAGCCTAAACATTCACATTCCTTCTCTCACGGCGCCTAAGCTACGACCTTGGCTCCCTCTTTATCTGCTCCTGCTGAGATGGAGCAGAAAGCTCCAGCATGTTCTGTTCTCTTCTAATCAGACAAATAAGGCGATGACTTTCTGCGAACAGTATTTCTTATAACTTAGCAGTATAATGCATCATAAAACAACATCATTCATTCACAATAAATCAGCAGTCTAATGTAATGTAAATCAGTCTAACAAATGCAATAGTTATCAGCTTCTTCTAATTCAGGAGAATAATGCAAACTAAAACTACATAATAATTCACAATCTTTAATTAGGGGTCTAACATGGCATAAAATACTATTATAATCCCACACCTCCCACCCTAAAACCCCCAAATGGATCTAGGACAAGGCACTATGTGTGTGTCCTTCTGATCACCAAAAGGATCATAAAAGCAGGAAGCTTACAACACAAGAAAAAGATCTTTCAGATAGAATGTATCTGCAATAAAACCTCCCCCAGCACAGAGTGGCTGGAGAGGTGGTCAGAGACAAAGGAATGTCTTTGATCTTATAGTTTGAACTTAGACAAATTTAAGAAACACAATGACAACATTCAACAATTTGACGTAACAGTCGTGTTTACGAGTGCCTGTGAGGAGTCGAGCTGCAGCATCCTGAACTAGCTGCAGATGAGACAGCAGAGCTGATACCAGAATAAAGACTGTTGCAGCCGTCAAGCCTGGATGAAATGCATGCGTGGATCACTTTCTCAAAGTCAGCTGATGACATGATGTTCATAATTTTTCCAAAGGCCCTGAGCTGGAAGGAGCTGGCTCTTACAACAGAATTTATTTGTTTGTCAAATGAAAAACTGCCATCAAAGAGAGTTCTGGACTTTTCCAGAGCGCCAAGGTCAACCTTAAGAGAAGAACGAGGGTCAGAAGGTCTAAATAGTACGATCTCAGTATTTTGACCGTTTACATTCAAAATATGTAATGCCAACTATGATTTCATGTCATCAAGGCAGTCCAGCAATTTTTAAAGAGTCTGTAGATTTTTTTTAAAAAGGAAAGTAGATTTGAGATTCATCGGCGTAACAGTGAAATGACAGTCAGTCAGTCGGTGCTCTGTCTTTGTGTCGTCACAGTTCACGGTGCTAATGTGGGCTACACGTCTGTGCTTCATGCCTCAGATGGAACTATCACAGTGTAAGAGAGAGATTCTCCGTGCAGTAAATGTAACACATGACTGGGTCCATGACACAACTGTGTTACAGAAGTCGAATGTTAACTTTAACTGGAAACCAGCCTGGAGACCTGAGACCTGCTGTCAGTCTGCTACAAACAGAGTGAACTGAAGACGCTGAGTCACATCAAACATCAGAACGAAGTCAGAGAAACCACATCACTGACTCGTGTGTACAACTCACACTGACACACACTTCAATGCTACAAACACTTTAGAATCAAAGAAATCACATGAAAGTCATCGATGTTGGTGGCAACATGACGGCTGTGTGGTCTGGACTGAGCTCGATAAAAGAAAACTATGAGTATGTAAAACATTTATATTCTACACTAGGGCTGGGCCATATTATACCGTTCACGGTAATACCGGTATAATGTTAGGCAACGATAGGAAAATGAAATATCGCGATAGAATATGAGTAAAACGCGCATGCGCAGTGCCTTTGTTTTCATACGCACATGGCCGATTGTTGAGTGAAACAGATGAACCACAATTGGTTTGTAAAAATGGTGCAACTTGGTGTTTGTCCGTCAGATACACGACAAAGCACATTTTTTTGCAGAACATGCAAGCGGCCGTCGTTATTGTCGTATTTGTCGGACTAAGATGCTCTTAAATCTGGGAGTAATCTGGGTCCTAAACTCTGTATGCTTCAGGTCAAACAACACTGCAGCATCACTTAGAGTTAAAAACTGTCTCAATTCTTTCATCTTTAATAAAACGATCAGCATTGCTGCTTTACCAGGTGTAACTATGAAGTTTAACTTCCAGGCATCCATGAAAACAAAATTTATTACATTTAACGGAGTTAGAAGTTAGCAGGAAGCTAGCGGAAGTTAGCTCGCTAGTTTCGCTAGTTACCTAAGCATGATATAGCATGTTCTGACTGAGAGATTTCTGAAAACATTCAAACGTACAGCTCTGCTATCACTTCCAACATAAATGAAGACAGGAAACTAAACAGCAGTGACCTTTGTAGGGTTACTGAAGTTGGGCTAGCTGGTATATAATGATGTGCTACGTGGTGGCTAGCGACACAGCTATGTTAGCATAACATAAACAGTGAAGCTGGAGGACGAACACTAACACTTTTCCACTTATAAAAGTTAACGTGAAGGTTCTTCATGGTTAGAGACAAATGCAATCGCATGGCAGGATGCTGTAAACGGACCAAACTTCAGTCAGGAGAACAACTGAGATAATCCATCCACAATACGAGGTTAGTCATTAATATACTGCAACAACATGGGAATAGAGCAGCTGCCAGAGAATTCAACATTAATGAATCAATGGTACAGAAGTGGAGGAAGCAAGAAGAATGAGTTTAATAAAGTTTGATTTATCTGACTGCTTTGTTTCACTTAATGTGCCTTATAATCCCGTGCACCTTATGGTCCGAAAAATGCGTACTGCACACTGCAGTTTAATGCTGCAAAGCAGCTCTTTTTAACTTCAGTGGATATTAAACATGGTTATGCTCAGGATATGTCAGCCCATTTCTACTGGAAATGCCTTTTGGTTAAACTTTCAGCAAGGAATTTGCATTTGCACTGTTAAATGTTTATAAAGCCTTAATGTACATAAAAACCAGCTTCTTGTTTAAGTGAAAATAAATGGAAGGTTGTCTTTTTGCGCTAGTAATGTTGTGGAGTTGTATTTTGTCTCGCATCAATTATATCGTCGGTTATATCGTTATCGCAAATTTTCAAATATATATCGTGATAAATATTTTTGGCCATATCGCCCTGCTCTATTCTACACTTTAATAAATAATATATATGTATTTATAGTTACAAAGTGAGCTTTGTTTTAATGACACTGGCAAAAGCGCTCGTCCAGGATTCTGAATGTTTCACAGTGAGCGAGGAGGCCGTCACACTGGACCTGCTGCAGCCCCTCAGCTCATCCTGAAACATGATGTTTTAGCTCCTTTATCCTTTAATCCAACTTCACTGTGATTGGCCACCTTTTGAAAACAGCAGGTCTGAAGCGCAGGTGGGGCTGCTGTGCACTTTAGACGACCCTATCAGGGATATCTGCTCGCTCTGATCATGCTGTTCTGATCTGTTCATGCGGAGTTCATTCAAACCAGCAGAGAATCACACACTGCTGCTGCATGCTGGGCGATACCTGTGTGTTCATCGTTGGTGCTGCACTCAAACTCCATGAAGGTATCCGTCTCCTCCTTCAGTCCCAGCTGCTCTCCCTCCTGACTGCTGCACAGTTCCTCTTTAATCTGTGGAGGTTCTGGTTCCTCCTGCTCCACACTGGAGCTCCTCTCCTGGTTCCAGAGCTGCTGCTCAGGGAGAACCTCCTCCTCCTCCGCACAGACACGCTGCTGACAGAAGTACTTATTTTTATTCGAAATAAGTACCACGTGGAACCTTCAGAGGCTCACACACCCTCCGTGCCTTTAAATAAATGTGTGTGTTGAGCAGCTGCTCAGTCTGATTGTAGAGCAGCGTCCACAGAAATGTGCGCTGTTAGCTTACCGATGAACTGTGCGATCACTGCGGAACGTTTCTGTTATTATAGACATTTATGTGAATTTACCTTCAGCTGTGCTGTAAGCTCAGACCTGCTCTGTGAGGCTCCTCATCACCAGAGTCTTCCTCAGACTCCATCATCTCCTCCTCTTCCTCGCTGATAAACTCTCTGAGACGCTGAACAGCAGACATGTTACTCCAACAGCTAGCTGCTAGCAGGAGGAAAGCTAACGGTACTTCTGCTTTTTCTTTGTTTACTTCCGCCCGGTGTCACAGTGAAGTTCCGGCGAAGTAGAACCGTTAACATGAATTTCCGCTGGAAACATTTCCAGGTCGGACTGAATATTTACTCCTGAATCATAAACATGATCATCAATCATCAATGTTCACTTCAGTGAGTAAGACACACATTCACACAGTATTTTAAAGTGAAAACAAATTGCAACGATTTAATCTTAATAACTCCAGAACACTCAATGCTTGACAATAGCCCAACGCCCAGTGGCAGGTTCATGCCACAGCAGCCAGAAAGCATGAATCCAGCTGTGCCAGTCAGTCTTTATTTACTAAGTACAAGACGAAATCCAAAAGTATGAAACACAAAGGAAAAAAAACACTGGAGGTTTCTGAGTTTGTGCTGAAAGCTGTAACATGTGTTGAGGTTTGGTTTTGGTGTTTGTAACATGCAGAGATATGAGAGGAGGAAGAGGCTGAAGGAGGAGCAACACTGTCACAGAGCAGAAAAGGACTCCCACTGTCAGATACATTCAATATGTGAAGCATACAGAACAGATAGTGTGTGGAAGATGCTGTCACTGCATTACTGGCTCATGTTTCCTTTGTTTGTGATCACACTAACAGGTCGGTTAAAGCAGGAAGAAGAAATGTCTTTAAAGGATCTGTTTGCTAGAAATCACTGGAACAGGCGCTCACAGTTTAACGTCGTCTTTAACAACATTTATCTCTTCCTTTAGGTGTCAGCTGTGATCAACTCACTGCAGTCAAGGATGAAGAGTCCACTGTAGAAGGAAACACTCTCACTCTGTCCTACACTTATTCCCAAGATGCAGATCTCAATGATAATTTCTTCTGGTATCGACAATATCCAGGGAAACCGCCAGAGTTCCTGATCCACATATCAGGGATGAATATTTCAAGAAAGTTTCTAAAATCAGCTGCAAGATTCTCCACAAAACTGTCTGGAAAAAAGCGTCTGGACCTTCAGATCTCCTCTGCTGCAGTGACTGACTCTGCTGTGTACTACTGTGCTCTGCAGCCCACAGTGACAGGAAACAGCAAAACTCTGTACAAAAACCTTTGGAGCAAAGACAACAGAATACTCCACAACATCCACTAGAGGGAGCCACACACTGTTAAACTGCTCTGGATTGTGAGGAAACATAAGAGTCTTTGTAGTTTGAATGAAATTGAAAAATGTTTGAAGGATAAAACAAGAGTAAGTCTTTAACATAATCAGTTCTTGTGGCCTCAGCAACAATGTTCTCACCTCGTCCTCTGGTATAATGCATGAACATCAGCCTCTGGTTTAATGTCAGGAGCAGCAGCACCGACACTGCAAAGCAGAGCCCTGAAGGAGCGAAGCAGCAGAGTCCTTACAAACCCACAGTAACACCCACACACACAGACAGCGACTCAGTTTGCACCTCATTTCTGTCACACTGAAGCCCTGCAGACACCTGAAGGCAGCAGGACACATGTTGATGAATGTGTGGACAGAGCGCTCTGACATGACGCATGAACCCCTCTGTGGTTCGCCTCATTAAACCCCTGCAGATGACGCCAGGCTGCTTCAAAGCCCGTCTGCACAAAGAGCAGCAGCTCATCTGTACACAAAGCAAACACACCTGCTGAAGCTCACAGTCTCAGTTATTCTATTTATTTTAATATTTTCTTTAGTCCGTGCTGCACTGCTACACCTGATGTGGGTTCCCCACCTGTAGAGCTGCCAACTGTCCCGTTTAGTGACCTGCAACGTCACATACAGTGCATATTTACACTGTGGTCCTGGGTTGCTGTCTCAGTGTTTTGAGTTTATTGTTATTATTTTCTAGTTTCTTCTGTTTCGAATTAGTTCTTAGGGTTTGAGTCTTTAGTGTTTCTGTCGTCCCTACCTGTGTCCTCTCCGGTGTCCTGTTCGTGTCTCTGAGATTATGTTTGTAAAACAGTCTGTGCATTTCCTGTTTTGCTTTGTTCAGCTGTGCTCCCCTCCTGTGTGTCACTCCCTCATTGCCTTGTGTGTATTTATAGTGTGTCTGCCTCTGTTTGTCGTCGCTCCGTCTGTGTGTTTGGTCCTCGCATCTCTCTGCTCTCCTTTCCCTGCATGGCTTCATGTTTTCAGCTTTGTTTATTAGTGTTCCCAGTTTAGGCTTTAGTTGCTCCCTGCTCCTTATTTCCTGTTTTTGTACTTTACTTTCATTACAAATAAACACTCACTCGCACCCCAGCCAGTGCCTGCATTGTGGATCCTTTTCTCATTACACCACACGACTGCAGCCCCAGCTGTGACAAACACTAAGCTCAGCTGGTTGCGTGTTGTGCGTCTGTCCCTTATTTATAAGGGGAGGTTGTGGCTCACGTGGTAGAGCAGATCAGCTACTAGTTCGATATCCTTGGGCAAGATACTAACCCCAAATTGCCCTCCCATGCATCCATTGGAGTGTCAGTGTTTATTAGTTTGCACTTGAGTTTAGAAGTGCTTGTATGAGTGGGTGTGAATGAGGCGTGTTGTTTGAGAAAAGCGCTGTATAAGAATCAGTCCATATTTGATGGTTAACCCACCTGCCAAATCTCACTTTATCCCCAGGATAGAATCAGCCACATGTGGCAGCTGGTTTATTAACTCTGAGTCCTGGTGCTGCTACAGTCGACTGCTTTAACTTTTATGGTTTACTTTTGTTCTTTTCACTTATTGTTTCACTGCAGCTCCTCTGTTCTTTCTTTGCTCTGTGTTAAAGAAAAATACAGCTTCATAAATCCAAATCATTTAAACCGTGATCAAAGCTTTTCAAGTCTCACTTTAAGCATGAGAAGCATTAAGCAGCTCAGTGATGGAGAACATTTGGCTCGTTGTCCTTGCACACAGTGCAAAGTGCTCCATCCTCCCTCCTCACAGTGATTCAAATGCTGCTAACAGTCTGTGAACCAGGAGGAAGAGGAAGTGAGAGAAGTGAGACTCAAAGAGGAGACAGAGGGCGACATCATCCAGTAGGCGGGGCTCTCCTTCTGCACTGTGTTCAACCATTGTGTCAATAATAAGTGCTGCTGTGAAGAGAACAATTCTCAGACTGAATGTTGAACATCAGCTAGTTTCTCCTGTTGATTTAAACCTTGTTGTACAGATGGAACATTGGCTGTGGATTATTCTTGCTGCTCTTTTCTTTGGTGAGATACAAACATCAACATGTTTCCTCTGCACACGACTCACAACAAGGACAGAAAGAGGAGATTTAATCATTTTACACTGTGGAACTTTTCAATAACTTCAATCATGTTTATTGATCCATGTCTTCCTCTGCATGTTCTGTTCTTCCTCAGAGTGTAAAGGAGAAGACAAAGTGATCCAGGAACAAGGAGATGTCATTGCTGCTGAAGGAGACACAGTTACACTTGGATGTAGATATGAAACATCTGATCCATTTCCATATTTGTTCTGGTACAAACAAGAAATAAACAACTTTCCAAAGTATGTTTTAAGACGTGACACTACAGGAACAGAAGATAATGAATACTCCACAACATCCACTAGAGGGAGCCACACACTGTTAAACCTCTGCAGTTTGTTAGGAGACAGTGTAGATTTTTCATCACGAGATACGGCTGTGTTAAATAACACAAGGTTTACACCTGCCCACTGGTAATTTGTAGCCCGTGTGTGGAACATCCACCTCAGTGGGCTCAAAATTAAAACAGTTTTATCTCGGAAACAAATGTTCAGCTGCTCCCATCACAAACCATCAGTTTAATGTGTTGCTGCTTGATCTGTGTTTCAGCAGAGGAGGAAAGAGCCTCAGATAAAATACAATTCTTCTCCTAAATGCAACTTTACATTCCAGCTGTAAATGATGGATGACTTTAAAGATCATTTTCAGTAATAATCATTCATTGTGCCAGCTCACATTGTGGTACTTTATGGTGGGTTTTATGAGTTGGTGTGGAGAAGCTGCTCTCACCTGCTCCCTGATTGAGAAGTGATCCCACAGTCGTTCCACGTGTCTGAGGTTTCATGCCTTTCCTCAGACTGTGGACCTTTTGCTTGTTAGCTAATGTGTAATACATGAAAGTTCACTTTCATCTCCGGCACCTGACATCCAGAGACCTACCAAAAGTTTGATCTTTGCTATGACAGTGGAAGTTATTGTTCTAAAAACCGTTGCAGAGACGTTGGAGAAAAGCTTTCCTGCACGTCTGAACTGTTTCGTTCATTTAAAGTGAGTCCAAACCTGTTAAACCTGCTTTCAGAAACCGCAGCTGCTGTGTCGTCACTCAACTGCCACTAGAGGTCACTGTGTATCTGAAGTTTGACTAACTTGCTCCCGGAGGCTTAACTGAGGTCAGAGGTCACATTTTCATCCATCTTTGTTCAAGAGGAGTGAGGAGCTTCCAGAGGGAGGAGATCCAGCAGGGACAGTTTGGTGCAGAAGTCCAGGAGAAACAATCTGACATGATGCATGTTTGCATTTGAAAGCAGACGTCTCTGCTTGTTCCTAATGTTTGAACACTTTCAGCCATTTTGGGTTTTTTGTGTGAGATCACAGGTTTAGTGTGGAGAGTGATTTCCAACCAAGTGTGTTAACCTAATGTTAGATTGTCATTGATTATTATAGATCTAATTATTAAGTACACAAGTATGTTTTATTCACAATATAGCAGTGAGGACAGTATAAGGTACACTTCTATACATGAACATATAGTTTCACTTTCAGTAAACTATATTCAAATCATTATGGCTGTAATGTTTTCATGTTTCAGGTAAAACAGGACATAATATTTTGTCAAAGTAGATGTTTTTCTCCAAAACACAGTTTTTAAAAATTCTAATAAAAAATCTCCCTGCTCTCTGAAAGATGAATTAAGGATTAATCATCTATTTATAAGGAGATCTGCAGTTTATGATTCAGTGTCAACACTTTCTGTGAGGGAAGTTAAAATATGACTGACTATGACTGTTTTAGGACCAGATATTCATGTGTGATATTAGATATTCACTGAGGTTCAGCAAAATCACCAGAATAAGGAGCCGTGTGATGCACTTATTTAAACTCTTCACAAAAACTCATCTTCACAATTAAAGAATGTAGGTAATAGAAACAATGAGAAATAAAAACTACAATCGTCACAGTTTTCATACTCATCTTTTTTCAGAGTCACTGTGGGGCCTCACTCGTGCATAAATGATGAACATTATTCGAGTCGGACCATATTTAGGGTAAAGAAACAATAACGAGCAACTAACACGTTTCCTTGTGTTTTTGTTCTGGTTGATTTTAGACTCAAGATGCAAAGATTATGTAATGATTTTTGGTCTTATTTGGAGAATTCTTATAAGTAGTAAGAGACTCATCGGCGATTAGTTGTCATATCCAGTTAATCCCACCAGGTGTCACCATACTAATAGTTATTAGTGAGAGGTTTGAACTAATAAGCAGAACAATACATTTCTATGTAAGTGTATATCCATTACATTTTCTTTGATCTATAAAACACACAACACTCACACACACACGTCAGTCTATTCACACCTACAGGCCAGTGGACACTCTTTCAATGATGAGGATGTAACATCCTGGACAGGGAGGAACGTCTGTTATGTGTAAACACAAATCTTGAGTTCATCCCTTGAATTAAGAACCTTTCTAGTGTTTCACTGAGTCGTGTGGCATCTTTAAGAGGTCTAACAAACAAAGAGCAATTCTCTGAAAATGGTCAGGCCCGAGGACGAGACTGAAAACAAGTGAAAAAGCTGCCGATGTCCAGGGGAAAACTTGAAATTACAACTTTCAGCTCCACTGTTCAGAGCTGTGGAAAAAAAGACTAAAACTGAAGACTAACAGTTTACTTTCACACAAAGTCTGTTGTTAAAATAAATTCAAAAGAAATTTGTGGGACATAAAACATAACATAAATTAATCACAGGAGGTCACTCACCTGATGTCCAAGTTAAGTAAGCTCATTTCTGCCACTCAGGAGCAAGACCTGGGGATACTTAAACATCTGCACTCTTGGCAGCAACTCTTCGCTGACCTAGAGTGGGCACCCCATCCA